TAAATGTGAGAAAAGGAAAAAAAATGGAAATGTCTTTATAAATAGTGAGGGGAGAGGGTTGAAGGAAGGGATCTCACACTAAACAAACAATATGATATTTATAAATGTCTGTTTTATTTATACTCTGCACAGTGTGGTCTATAGATGCATTCATTTACCTATTAATGTCTCAATCTATCTTTCTCTTTATCCATTCATCTTTTGGTTGGGATCACCCAGTAAGTGCAGATGGACCTGACTAATATGGAAGGATCCTTGTAAGTATTGTTTCCTCACCATGAGGTCAAACATGACAGTTTGGGTGACCAATTGGAAGGTAGAAATATGAAAAATATCAGTTATAAGGAACATAAATTTTATATATTTGATTTTAGTGGGGAAATCATAATTTTTTAAATTTGTTTTTTACACATCCTGTTTCCCCTTCTCAAGGATGGTCTTGCCCATGGAAGGAAAAAAATGTCTTTTTCAGTGATTCCTAAGCACTCCAAAAGGATTATAAAGGTGATTATAAAAATGTAGGAGAGGAAGATAGTAATCATAGCATTATGAACTTGTTTTGAGTGCTTCTAATATCTTAGACACAGAGGTATTTATACTTATTTTATTAGCTTCTTTTATTTCATTTGGTTTGCAGTCTAGAAGGTACAAGTTTCCACATGTTATTGCTTATGGATGACAGCAGAGTCCTTCGTTTTAATGGATCTTACAGTAGGTAAATAGGTAGTCAGTGAATTGGACTGTCTGGTTAGAGACATAGGTCATGATAGAGAAATACAGGTTGTCCTCTTAATACAGAAGATTTTTAACTCTTCTGCCACTTAAGAAACAGAGCCCTTAGTTTCTCTTACTTTTGGGGGTCCTTGAAAGTTCACGGAGCAGAGCAGTTAATGTCCCCAACTGCATCTAACATAGACAGAAAGGATGACAGGCAAACACCTCGAAGAGCAGTTCCTTGAACTTTCAGCACAGATTTCTCTCCTGCCGCCACTGCTGGATGTTTCTACAGCTCCTGCCACCCTTCCCATGATTGCAATGATTCACACAGTTTCAAATGGGGATTTGTCTTGTCTCGGTTTCATTCAAAATTGTCTCAGAAGCACCCAAGTTTATAAAAATTTTTCCTCTGTTTGTGGGTTTGGAAACAGTGAAAACTTTAGTGCATTGGAAATGACTTTCCATTAATTTTATTATCCTTTTAGCTCCACTTATTTTCACTGGAATACAGGGCAGGCACGTGATATCTCTGAGACAGCATTGTTATTAGCGTTGCTTTCTAGGTGAAGAAATACCCAGAAGATCACACAGATAAGAAGTGCTCTATTTGGGATTAATGTGTATAAAATTAGAGCAAAAGAAAACATAGCCATCATTGTTATTAATGACACAAATAATCTTTTACTGATTATGTCTTTTGACCTGATATTATTCTTTTATTTTTGTTGCAAGACATTTTATTTTTGTTTGTGTAAATATGTGAATATATTTGGAGACAAATGATGTGCTTTCATTTACATCTGTTTCCCCAGAGCCTACACACTGTTTGGCAGAAAAGATGAATAAAAAATAAAGACCTCTATTAAACATTAGAAGGACCTTTCCCTAAATCACAAAAGCTGTCCTTAATCAGCCTGATGTGAAGATGCTTGCTGTGTTTTGTCTGCACGTGCATTCCTTTCTCAAACGCCCCGAGTTTTAGAACAAGATAAAAGAGCTTTTTAGTATCCATATCATAGGAACATGGCCCCTAGAATGTATTTAATTGCATCTATATCAATATTGAAAAACACAGTAAAGATATCCATTAGTTTAAAAAAGCACAAAGAGTAGGGAGCAGGTAAATGTATGCCTCAGGCTGAAATGTGGTATAGAACTTCATATCATTCCAGACACCATTACTATTTGAATATAGATTGTAATATTTATCAGTACACTTTCTAATTGCTTAAGGTGCAGTTTTTTTTTAATTTTAAAAACAAATCTTCACAATGTGTAAATAATTTCCAAACTTCCTTGAGTTTCCACATATATGGAGATGAATTCTATTCTTATTTTTGCTTAAACATAGTGTACACAGGGAAGAGGAGAGATTCATTCACAGTCTGCCTATTGTCACACACTGGTCAATGATGCAGGACTGGATATTCATTTCCTCAGCACTTTCTCTTGACACAAGCTCCACCATGCCACCGGAGCAAAATGAAAATACTATTCCCCATATGAGGATGAAATTTCTTTGTGTGTTACCATGCAGAGCTCATCACTGGACAACTGTACAGATATTTTGAAGGTATATCTGAAGAATAAAGTAATGAAAGTGACTGAAATTTATTGAAAAAAATTCATGAAATTTTCCCAGCATCATTTTCTGGAAATCTAAACTATAACCTACACCAATATCTTATACATAACTTTCTACTTGAGTGACAGGGAGAGAGGCACAAAAATCTAGAAAAGATTGTTGTAATAATAAACTTACAAGTTAAATGAGGTCTCTCTCAGGTAATGCTGTGTATTCACTAAAAGAAACTTAAATCACTTCTGGTTGTAAAGTAATCTATTTTGGTGACAAAAGTGTTTTCCTTCTTACATTAATTTTAGATACTTTTACAGTAAGATTTTAAGAAAACTCCTTGTGGATTCATAAATCAACATTGATCTGGAAACACTGACAGGAAAATCTACCCAGAAAATTCACAAGATATTCCTTTGCAAACAAAAAAAGCAGCATTATGAAATTAGGAAGAGATACCAAGTACTCAACTTGCCTAGGCAATTGTTCAGATATCTAAAGAATTTTAATGCTGATGTAAATATTATTAAATATTTATATTTTCATATATATATAAACATAATATTAATTGGGTGTTTTGAGAATGTCAGCAAGTATTCTAAAAGAGTGGTTTTCAAATCTTGCTGAAGAAAGTAACATGAAATCTTGAAATATAAATATGTTGATGAAATTTCCTGGCCTAAATCTAGAGTATCTGTATGTTTTTAAATATCCCCAGATAAATGAAACAACAGTGATGCAAATTAAATAATTTTTCAAATATTTTCATACAGCAGTCCTATAAATAGGTAATTCTGCTCCCCATTTTACAGATAAAGTGGGCTTACAATATTCACATGTGTATTTACAAAACAATGTAAATATTTCTACTGCAGCTGGGTTTTAAGGTATGTTTACAGTATTTCATGTAGTGTCTGTTTAATGTGTTATTTCCAATTAAATCACAGCGACCTGACCAAAAAATGTGTCCCAGTTTCCTTTGCTAGCTGCTAGCTGAAATAAGAGAAATACAATTTATGTATCAAGAAAGATTGATAGGAAAATCTGTAGCTTGAACTAGGAAAGGCTAGACAGAGCCAGGGCCTGGGGACTTTGTTTCTTGTCTCTTCACCTACCTACAAGCAGGTGTATGATCAAAGTAAAGAACGTTTCCAAGCTGCTGAAGAATATAGGGTCAATAGAGAGATGTTTACATAGAAGATATGTTAGTGATATTGTATTTAATGATTAATCTGTATAAAATTAGAAATGTCAAGGATGTTTTAAATTATTGACAGGTGCAATGTGCACTAATGCTACATTTGTGGTCAATATGTCTTAAAATTACATGCACACATTTAAACCTGCTATATACAAATATAAATTGACCAAAGACAAGTTGAACTCAAATTCACCAAATGAATTTGACAAACTCAAGTTCACCAAATAGTTTAGATACAAACAAAGGTGGATAGATCTCTTACATAATTGAAAGATTAAAATAAGAAAACCCCTAATGAGATAATTAACAATGTGAAATAGGAAGAAAAGGGCTAAAGGTGTAGGGATAGTGTAGGTAGGGGAAAGGTAATAAAGAAAAAGAAAAAAATGTGAGAAAAATAAAAAATGGAAATAAAGTGTTTGTAAATGGGGAAGGGAGGAGGAGGTGAAAGGAGAACAGGGACAAGGGGAAAAGTGAGAACCAAGACCTGTCATGTAAAGGTGCAAGATCCCAATAATGAATGTAGCTCTACTATATAACTAAAATGTACCAATAAACAATTTAAAAAATCAGAAAACCCAAAATGATAAAAATTTCTCTGAGGTAAATGACTAAACACAATGTGTTCTGAAAAAGGAAGGATAAAAATATGATAAATGGAGGAAAAAAATAGAAAAAGCCTTTGCAAATATGGAGGAGTGGAGGGATGAAAGCAAAGGGGAATGGGAAAAAGCAAGAATTAAGATATATCACATATGGGTACAAGTTTCCAATGATGAATGTGATCATAATATATACCTAAAAAGTTCCAAAAAAGTTATTTTAAAAATAATTATTTAAATTCAACTCTCAAATAGTGCAGTCCTAGATTTTGTAGTATTTGTAAGCACTCTAAGGCAAAAGAGTGTGCACCATTTTCTGAAAATAAAAGAGTAAATAGTTGAATGTTTTAAAATTTTCTTCCAATAAAATCATATTTGCTTACATGAGGATGTCCTAACTATTCTCTCTGCATCCTTTGTTAAAAACAATGTTGATGGTATTTTACTATGATCAAGGGGTTCTGAACTCTACATCCTTGGTCTGCTTACACTACGCAGGGCAGTATCTGTAAAGTAATGTAAGGAGGAGGTGGAAAACGAACCACCCAATACTGAGTCCTTGATGATGGTGGAATTTCTCACAATAGAGCAATACTGCTGGAAATTTGGCACCTCATGCAAGTATTCCTTTGTTTGTGAATACTTATTTCTAAAATATATAGAGTTTTGTGTGCTATTTTTGGTTTCATTTTTCCAATGAATTTTCTTTTTGAAAAGGTGTTCAAGCACTATGAGAACACATGATCTGACAAGAGTCTCAAAATTCCATTTCCTGGGCTTCTCAGAGGATCCAGACCAGAAGCCTGTCCTCTTTGGACTGTTCCTGTCCATGTACCTGGTCACAGTGCTTGGGAACCTGCTCATTATCCTGGCCATCAGCTCTGACTCTCACCTCCACACCCCCATGTACTTCTTCCTCTTCACACTGTCTTTTGATGATATCTGTTTAATCTCTTCTACAGTCCCAAAGTTTGTTGTGGGCATCTTGACTCACAGTAAAGTCATCTCCTATGTGGGCTGCCTGATACAGATGTCTTTTTTTATGCTATTTGCTTGTACAGACAGCATGCTTCTGACAGTAATGGCCTATGACCGTTTTGTGGCAATATGCCACCCACTGTATTATGCAACCATTATGAACCCTCGCCTCTGTGTATTGTTGATTTTGCTCTCTGTCTTTTCTGGCCTTCTGGAGTACCAGCTGTGCAACTTAACTGCTTTACAACTTTCCTGTTTCCAAGATGTGAAAATTGCTAGTTTCTTTTGTGACCCTTCTCAACTCCTCTATCTTACATGTTCTGATGCCTTAATCAAAAATATAGTCACATATATGATTGGTATCCTATTTGATTTTTTTCCCTTGTCGGGGATCACTTTCTCTTACTATAAAATTGTTTCTGCCCTTCTAAAAATCCCATCATCTGGGGGAAGGTACAAAGCCTTTTCTACCTGTGATTCTCACGTGTCAGTTGTTTGCTTGTATTATGGATCTGGCCTTAGAACGTATCTTGGTTCAGCCTTGTCATACTCTCCCTGCAAGGGAGATGTGGCTTCACTGATGTACAGTGTGGTCACCCCTCTGCTGAATCCCTTCCTTCATCTACAGCCTGAGGAACAGGGATATTCTTAGCACCCTGAAGAGGCTCCATAGTTGAAGAATCTACCTCCATGACATTCAACATCTATTTGGAATGTAGTTTGGAAACTGTGGTAAAGCAGAAGAGTGCAAATACTCTCTCCTTGCCTGTATTTCAAATGGTAAATGTGTGCAATTTATCATGTTTCATAACAGAATCATAACAGAATCATTGAAATTAAGGTTCTTCATATGTGCAAAATTCTTTGGGGATAGTGAAATTTTTGGAAATAAGAATGACGGATGCAGAAAAATAAAATTATGCTACCAAGCTTTGCTCCTAAAAGATTAGAATGATACATTTACTTACATATATCTCAACACAGTAAGCATAAATAAAGCTAGAGAATAATGAGATTTTATATATATATATATATATATATATATCTATAAAACTTTCAGTTAACTTTGTGTTCTGTAGTTGCAATATTCTTAAAAGTACAATTTTTAATTTATGTCTCCTTATCTTCCTTCTACATGTCTTTATTTCTTCTATACTATCTTATTTCACCCTTTCTAGTGTTTGACCTCTCCTTCCTAAGGGATGTGGAGGGGCTAAAATTCCATCTTCTTATGACTGCTTCAGGCTGAGTAGGTTGAGATATGCTGCCCTTGCCAGGTTAGGGAACAAAGGCCTCACTCTGACTAATCTAAAGGTGACAAAAAGAGATGGGTTTTGTTGTTTGATGAACTTTCATCCTTCAATATCCTGAAAAGAAGAGAAGCACATTAGTGAGTCAATGAGTTTTCAGCCTCGTGTTTTAACCAATTTAAATAAGCAAGTATCAAAAACTAAAAGTAGAATATTGGTGAATATTGTTTCAAAAAATTTGTAGAATTCAGAAAAAATCAGGTACCATTTTTCTTCTATATGACTGGAGGTGTTTCTGGAAATACAACAGATAGAGACATAGTATATATACTTCTCCTTTTTTTTTTTAAATAAGAGACCCAATTTCCCTTTAGTTTAGTGGCAAAGAATACAGCAAATACATATATCTATATTTCTATGTGAGCATTGGAGAATTAAAAATTTTACTACCAGTCTCAGAACAGGAGATCTTTGCTCTAATTTGCATCCCTGAGAATATTTTATGGTGATTAGCCACTGATAATATAAACATAGTCTGGAGTAGATATCAGAAAGTTTATACCACAAAATAAAGCTTAGGAGGTTGAATATTTGCATTGTAATTTTCACCTTCTAGACAGACAAATACAAAAAGCCAAATCTTCACCCAAGAATTAATCTAAAGCTACATAAAAAATGACATAATAACAGTGCACAAAGACAAGTAGAAGGATATGTTTTGGGGAGAGAGATTGGGTCTGAGAATCACAATTTCTTTCAGTTGTAGTTTAAGATGTTCAGCTGGAGATTGCCAGTAGTGGCTGGCTCTGTTTTTGGAGCTCCTTTTTAAATATAGCCTGCTTTTCTCTGATTTGATAATGCCATTTTTCCCACGTTTTCAGTTATACTGTGCTGTTAGGTGTTTACACCAAGTCAAAATAAGATACTTTCAAACAGAGTTAATGAATTTGCACATAACTGTGAAGTATGGTCAGTTAAGGGTCTTTAGGGCTTACTTTTGAAGCCATATGCAGTGTCTTAGATCCCACAGTTTTTTGCTCTACCAATTTTGGCATTTGCCAGGATGGGTCATAGTCTTGCTTGACCATATGGGTTTCCCAGATATCAGTAAAAATCCTCTCTCTAGTGACTCCCTTCTTGGCAAAAATGCACACATTACTCATGGTCTCTGTAATCCAACAGTCCCTTTTGTTAGGTTTTGACTGACACAGCAGAGTTGCGGATTCCATTCCGAGGGATGTTGTCATGTTTTGGGATTTGAATGTCTAGGGCAAGGGCCAAAGTTCTGGTTCTCCTACTAGTCTCTTTTGTAAGTTTGGTCTCTAAGCCTGCCTTCTTCAACAACCAGAAGGTCAGGTACATCAGTCTTGAATTGGGGAAGTATGTCTTATTCCTATAATAATAGTTTCAGAATATTGGAAACTTTGAAATATGCAATATGCCAGGTGTGGTGGCACATGCCTGTAATCGCAGCACTCAGGAGGCTGAGGCAGGAGGATCGCTGTGAGTTCGAGACCAGCCTGGGCTACACAGTGAGTTCCAGAGCAGTCTGAACTACATAGTGAGACTCTATCTCAAAAAACCAAAAAAGTATGTAGTACGACCAGAGAATAGCCTCTTCCATTAATCATAGTCAGGATTAGGAGTAGCGGTATGAGGAGTCAGTGACATATTGTATCTGACCTGTAGGTGATGGCACATCATCTAAACCTAGTATATAGGTTGTCTTTTCGAAGTCACATTCTTGTAGAATATTAATAGATAACATTTACAAAGTTTTACCAGAAAAACAAAGCATAAAATTAACAAGAGGAAACACACCATTTTACGACAATTTCATGACATTATTACACCAGCACCATTAGATTCCCTTTATTATCTCTAAAATAAATTTGAACTTTTATTGCAGTTACTTATGTGTAATTGGTTACCCTTGTCAAATTATAGAATATTAAATGGCATTAATCACCAATTAATTTATGATTTTTAAACAAAATAAAAGTGTCTCAGTAGAATGTACTTGTCTACAGACGTATTTTATAACAATATGCCAGGTGGTGGCACATGCCTGTAATCGCAGCACTCAGGAGGCTGAGGCAGGAGGATCGCTGTGAGTTCGAGACCAGCCTGGGCTACACAGTGAGTTCCAGAGCAGTCTGAACTACATAGTGAGACTCTATCTCAAAAAACCAAAAAAGTATGTAGTACGACCAGAGAATAGCCTCTTCCATTAATCATAGTCAGGATTAGGAGTAGCGGTATGAGGAGTCAGTGACATATTGTATCTGACCTGTAGGTGATGGCACATCATCTAAACCTAGTATATAGGTTGTCTTTTCGAAGTCACATTCTTGTAGAATATTAATAGATAACATTTAATCTCAAAAAACCAAAAAAGTATGTAGTACGACCAGAGAATAGCCTCTTCCATTAATCATAGTCAGGATTAGGAGTAGCGGTATGAGGAGTCAGTGACATATTGTATCTGACCTGTAGGTGATGGCACATCATCTAAACCTAGTATATAGGTTGTCTTTTCGAAGTCACATTCTTGTAGAATATTAATAGATAACATTTACAAAGTTTTACCAGAAAAACAAAGCATAAAATTAACAAGAGGAAACACACCATTTTACGACAATTTCATGACATTATTACACCAGCACCATTAGATTCCCTTTATTATCTCTAAAATAAATTTGAACTTTTATTGCAGTTACTTATGTGTAATTGGTTACCCTTGTCAAATTATAGAATATTAAATGGCATTAATCACCAATTAATTTATGATTTTTAAACAAAATAAAAGTGTCTCAGTAGAATGTACTTGTCTACAGACGTATTTTATAAGTGACTGTTGTCCAATCTTTCATCATCAGAATGACATTGCACAGACCACATAATGTTTAGGTACACCTATCATAATAAAATAAAGATCACATAGACATAAGTCAGGAATAGTCTATCACTGTAAACAATTTTACTCCATGATGCCAATATAATGAATGTTCTCCTAAGTTTTGCACTTAGAAACCATGTAGACTTGGGGAATGTAAATGAATTTAACATAAAAAAAGAGTCATTAATAGTTACCATCACAGCTACATAGAAGTCTTTACATATTAAATTTGATTTTCCCTTAAGATAAAATTTACAGTCCTTTGATAAACAGGTTTATGTAATGTAACAAGCAAGTATAGATGGAGAGTTTTAAAAAATACAAATTAACAGTTTGTGAAGAAGCAAAATTCCTCGAAATGATGGTGAAAGTTCCATAGTATTGTGAATGTAATAAATAACATTGAACAGTGCACTTATCCCGATTTAGATTGGTGTTATTTATATTTTACCTAAATTTACCAATAAACTTTAAACATTGTGTGAGCATTATTATATTTTGCCATGAGAAATTATGCTAAAATAGTAGTCAGAACTTTACAAAATATATTTCTTAGATGTAAGAAGTATTGGGATTCAAATCCTGGTTTACAACCTTCCTATGTGATAATATCATCAACTCTCAATTCATAGGTTGATTATTAGAAAATAAAAACCAGGAAGGGGATAAGATGTGAATGAAACTCATGGTGAATATTTAAACAAAAATTGCTGCAATAGAAAACACACTGCCATTAATCTGCCTCAAAGTATTCCTACTTGTTTGAACACACTTATCCCTCTTTCTCACCACTTTCAGAAGCTGTTCTGGAAGGCCTCTTCTGTGAGTGTCTAAAGTTCTGTGAGTCTGACATGTCCTGAATCAATCTGATACTTCACTTGTCATAGTTATTTTGATTTTGGAATGAGAATAGAAGACATATGGTGACTGATCCAATGAATAAGGTGGATGAGGTTATGCCGTGATGTGTTTCTGTGCCTGCTTCATTTAGCTTTCTTCATTAGCTACAGTTTCTCTGTGATTGTTGGCTGTCTTTCTCTTTCTTGACTCTTGGAGCTCTTTTTTCTGTTCCTTAAATTTTTTTCCAGGGGTCTCAAATTCAGTTCCTGGAAAGGCTGTCATTTCCTACTAGGTGAACTCTATCTTTTTCTTGCTTGTGCTCTGTTGATTTTAGACAGGAGATTGTGATTGTATTCATCAATAAACTGGCTATTCTTATAATGATTACATTTTGGATTAAAAGTCACCACTTAATTATTACTCTTCCTTTGCTCAGATATATCAAGTCTTTCCAAAAGCCTATGCTAGCCTCAGGGATCTATTCTGTGGGACATCTGTATTTTGAGTCCTTTCTTCCATAGCAAGAGATACAGAGAAGTTTGTTGTCCTCTCTGAGGCTCTGTAGCATGACTTCACTCTTAAGTATCCATTCAGAATATACTTTTGAAAGAACAATGAAACAGTACCCCGAACTGTGTATAATACTTCTTTGCTCATATTATT